GATTAAGATGCCACAAATTTGTTAGCGAGTTAAACAGGTCGTTTTCTCCCCTCATCTGGCTGCGCAATTATTCCTGCTTCCTTTCCTTAAATGAGATTTAGCTGCTCATGCACAAAGAAAGCTCTCGGTAGGGCGGGAGGACTTCAGGCTCTAGTACACGCGATGCCGGTAGCTGTGGCTTGTCTCTCCCCCCGCTCCTTATTTCAGTTCCCAACATTTTGTGGCAAGAATGAAAGCTTTTTTAAAACAGTGGGAGACGGCAAAGCAGCCCAAGTTAGTAGCGACTGAGAGTTGTTATTATCCACCGGCATCCATGAAATTAATCCACAGCAGAGAAACTGCTTCCAGCTGGCGTCCGTGCTCACCAGGCGCCCGCCAGCCGAAGGGGCTTTGCACCCACCTCAGCCCTCGCAGCGGTCGCTGGGGTTCGGGAGCGAGGAGGGCTGGCAGGGCTCCGGCTGCCCCGCTGCCTCCCCAGCGCTGACCGACCGGCTCACCGGCCGCTCTTCGTTAACGATAAATGAATCCTCCGGTGATTGCTTTCGGGAGGGGGCGTCAGATGCAGTTTCCCAAGTTTCACGTGGATCTGAGCAGTTTATTTCCAGTGAGACGGTTTTGCTCCTGTGGGTCAGGGAGAAGTGGAAGCGCTAACAGCCGGGCTTGGACGATAACGTGGAAGGGGAGAAGAAGAGTGGAGGTCTGGAGATGCAGGTTGTCTCCTGGGAGGCGTTCATCCGCGTGTCTTGCTAGAGAGGAGTATGTGATAAAGGAGTTGCTTGCTTTAAATGAAGTTACTGTAACTGGGTAAGACGCTTCTGTGCACTTGTAACTTGTAAAAGCACCAGCGCGGTTCAACTGTTCGGGTTTTTTTAGTTAAAGACATGAAAAGTACGTGGGTGTATGGGCCCTTAAAATCCAGGGACAGGGGAGGGGAGAAACAGCCACCTAATTGTTAAATGAAAAGCTGTCCTGTCCCCCTAATTTGGCATCTCTGCTGAGCTGTGAAACGTGAGCCTAAACCAGGCTGGAAAAGTGAAACTCATGTTTCGCTTCTAATGCCACCATGATATAAATTGCAAAAATGACTCATATGGATTGGTTTTTGGGAGCGATGCCTTTGGCGTGAGCCAGCAACGGGATAACTCAATTCTTCCCTCGTTTATGCTGGCTCGCTTGGCTGATGCCAGTGGGTTTCTTCTCATGGATTCACACACTGTCAGGAATGAATCTAGCCCAAGAGCATCCCAGAAAGGATATCTTAGTATTTCTTGCAGAAGGAATACCCACGTAAAGCTGAATTAACAACAGCAACTCATCTCTTTGTGCCATGCTCCAGTTTTAGTCGTGGAATCGTAAGCAGAGAGCGCAGGGCGAACACAAAGCCCTAATCTCGGTGCCTTTCCTTGGCCAGCATCCCCTTCCCGATTCGGCCATAAAAATAATCCAGAAAAAATGTCAGGCACCGTCTCTTTTTTTGCTTTCGCAGGAACAAATGGTCAAGTTGCATCATCTGTTTTTTAGGCCCTTAACCTGCAGGCGAGGGATTACAGCAACTGCACCCCCATCTTGCGACGTGCTGTGTGCGTGCAAGGCGGGAGCTGCTGACCCAGAGCCCGGGCAGCTCAGCAGCCTCCGGCACCCTCGGAGCGCAGGATCGCACCCATCACATCTATCTTGTAGGGGGGACTGGAAGAGGCACCGGGCAGCTCGGGCTCAGGTGGCTCCTGCGCAGTGCGGGGGACAGAGCCCTTTGCTCGTGGCTGCTGTCATCTGCTGAGACCAGCGCTCTCCATCTCATCTCGCCTTCCCTCTCCTGGGCCGCTCAGCTGGGGCAGTCGGGGGCTCGGAGTCACGGATCCTCTCTGCGGATGCTCCCAGATGCCGGCATAGCCGGGAAGCCCTGCCCGGTGTGGAGGGAACCCCATGCGTGGCTCCTTCCAGGCGGGTGGCTCCAACCAGGGCTCCCGAGTGGTCTGGGGACAGGGTGAGCAGCAAGGCCACCCTGCAGTGCCACGGAGGGGGGTACGGCCAGCCCACGGGGAGCAGGCCCTCGCAGGCAGCGCAGGCTGCCAGGCGAGCTCTGCCCTAGCTTTGCAGCTCTGCCTTGCGCAGAAGTCCAGGCATGAGCCCGAACTCCAACCAAAGCGGTTACTGGGGCAGGTTGGTAGATGTTAAGTGCTGTGTCTTCCCAGGGAGTACTTTTCTTTTAAAACCAGAGGAGATGGGGTAGTTTTCACTCTGCAGAGCACCAGGAGAGGCCACGGATAGACATATTTGCCATGTGATTTCAGATAGCCTTTCTGCCAGGTGGGGAAAAAGAGCAGGAAAAATTCATATGCAAAGCAAAAAAAAACTTAAGGAGTAAAAACATCTTGGCAGCTGTTGGTCTGCAATCACTCAAATAAACTCTTCGTACAGTTACATCCATGCAAAACTGCTACGAGGGAGGTTAAAGTCCGTGCCCAATTATCTAAAAATGACATCAAAAGGGTGCTCGCTCAGGAAACCAGCAGGTCTATATTTGTGCAGCAATTGATGTTTGCTGAAGTCGCAGATCACAACTGAATACAACTTCCTGGCAACCTAAAAAGTCAAGTTTGGGAAAAAAAAAACCACCACCCACACAGTACCCCTCATTTCCCGGAAAACTTTTTCATGCTCTGTCATCCTGTATTGTGGTGGTTTCAAACACAGCTTGGTACAATCGAAATAACTTCTACAAAGGGTGCCAAGGTTGTTACAGATTTCCGCTTGATTTTCTTTTAGATGATACACGGTTTATTTGAGTTTTTTGTGCTCGTACTGCACCTGAGCCTATCTGCAAAGCCAAGCCTCTTCCCGACCTTAGCAGGGATTGGGATAAATGCGGGTGCATGGGATATTGAATTTGTTTTTCCTCTTTTTATGGGTGTGAGTTCCCTCTTTAGACTAACAGCTCACCCTGATGGCAGCTGCTGTCCAAGGGCGTGTTCGTTGGGAGTCTGGTGCATGAAAACAGATTTATTAGCAAGGCTCTCCTCTGAATTTTTGGAGCTCATCTGTACTCCCTCGCTCTGTCCTCACTCCCTTCTGGCCATAGGAGTGTCCAGCTCCGACTCCTTTCCATGCACGTGGGATTTCCTCGTGTTATGAAACATGATGTCTGAGCTCCAGCCGCTCCGGTTTGTTTTGTTTGGGGTTTTTTTCTTACGAGAAAAGGTTTCATTTAGCAGCTAGCGAGGGCTATTTGGAGATGGTTGGGGCTCTGCTTTTGTCGTGCATCCTTGGTTTGTGCAAATGTGCTGCCTTTCTGCAGCGGGATTGCTGCTACTACGCATGGGGATGTGGAGGAAATGGAGTCGGGGGGTTCCTGGGAGGACGCTGGAGGATTTGGGGTTGGCCTCTCCTTGCAAGTCACAAGGTTGGCGAGGTGTTTGTGTAAGGGGATTTGGCTCAGCGAGGGATTCCCCTTGCCTTGCTCTGGGGAAAGAGGCTTATTGAGGGGTCCACGGGGTGTTGGGAGCAGCGGGGTGCTCCGAGGGGGGCAAACGGGGATCCCACCTTTGCAAAGGTTCTTCCAGCGCACCGGAGGGGAGGAAAACTCTCATCTTTAACCGAGTCTGCTGGTGAAGGCAGTCAGCTAATAAGCCTGGCTGCCCCTGCTCCTCGTCTCAGGTTTCCTGTCTCCGTTTTGATGAGAATATTGATATTGGATATTTCTGATGTTTTTTTCAAAGCAGGGAAGTTATGCATCTCCTGGTTTTTACCAGGCCTGGAAATCCAGCAGCCTCCCAGTGCAGGATGCTGGGGCTCCCCGTGCTGCTGCGGGCAGGTGGGAGCGGGCTGTGGCAAACAGCAAGGAGCTAAAGGCAGGACAAAAAGAAAACCCCACTCTTGGTGCTGCCTTCTCTGCCGGTCCTTTCCTCTGCCTGCAAACCACGCAGGAGCCTGCCGGGAACATTTTAGTGCAGATGTGATGAAGTCCTGGCCCTCATGCCATGGATTTGCCCACGGGAGTTGGTTTGGGGGTGATGACCAAACGTAGAGACCTAGAGGAGAAGCTTGCAGAAGTGGCCGTGGGCTAAAATATGAGCGTTGCTACTGATGCCAGCAGGATCCGTCCCGCTGGGGTTCATCAGAGAGCTGGTGGAGCAAATCGGAAAGGAGGGTGCTCGTTTTCAGGGAGCACTTGGTGCACAGCAAGCGGGGAGTACCTCTGCAGAGGGGGGAGCGGAGCCACTGGGGAAGCAGCGGAGCAAGGTGGATTTGCTGCCATCCCAGCAGTGTCCCCAGGGATGGCCAGGGTCCATGCCCGCTCCCCGGTCCTGTGGCAGCTCTGGGGTGGGAGCTGGTTGAGTTTTCCTCGGGAAGATGCCAGTCTTGTCCCATGTGATGTGGTGGGGAGGGACCACGTGTGGTGGGTCCTGAGGTCTTGTCTGGGCAGGCTTTCTGATGACCTTCATTAAATGAATGGAAAGTGCTTTTGACGTAATTCCTTCTCCCTTCTGTCCTTGCAGGATACAAAGGAGGAGGTCTCAGAGAAACCAAAGTCTGCTCCGACCGCAGAGAAATACGGCTGGATTAAGAAAAGCAGTGGGGGGCTCCTGGGATTGTGGAAGGATCGTTACATCCAGCTACGGAAAACACAGCTTGTGGTCTATGAGGATGAGGTACGGTCACAGCTAGCGGCCTTGAATGAGGGGCAGGATCAGGCCCTTGGCGACACACTGTGTTTTTCACTCTTCCCTCTAGCCCATTCCTTTCAAAAGAGCTTCTCCGGTTATCTCCAGGAAGGGTCAATGCTATAAAGAAGAGACAGCAGCTGCATTTTAGAGTATATTATATATTATAAATATTTTAGCCAGTAAATATTTTGACAGTGCCATTGCCAAAAAAAAAACCAGAGGGGGCAGGACATCCTGTGAGAAGGCGAACAGAGCAAAGCTTTGGGCGGAAGCAGGATATGTGCGATGCGTTTTTGGCGTTTAAAGGATAAAACTGGATTGTAGCAGGCTGACTTCCCACCTGCCTCTTGAGGGAACGGCAGGCAACCTTGCAGCTGTTTGGCACCCCTCAAGCAGCTCAAATTGTTGCTAGCCAGACTCGTCAGGGTTTCGTTTAGCCACCGATGGAGGCAGAGTGAGATTGTGAGTGCTTGCTGTCCTCCTTAAGCAGGGACACAGTCTGGATTTGGCTCATCCTTTCCCTTTACTCAAGCCAGCACTGAGCGAAGGACCCCTGGGAACCTTGTCCTGGACTTCCCTAGATAAATTGTGTGCCTTAAGTTCATGGCCTCATTTAGAGCTGTTTCCAATCAAATGAGAAATAAGAGCCAAGCCAAATCTGTCCTGCATCTTCATGTGAGAAGAATGGAGAGTGCAGGGCTGGTCTTGCTGGGCTGCAAAGGTGGCTCTTCCCCGAGTCAGGCCCTCGGTTCCTGGGCTGGAAGGGGCTTCTGCAAGAGCAGAGTTTGCCCCAAAAGTTAGAAATTACAGTGCAGAGCACAAGTGACAACCCAGAGAGGTTTGAGATTAGGGGTGGGTAAGTCTAAGCCTTGCTGGTGTACGGTGGCTTGAAGTTCGTGCGTGCATCAGGATGGAGGAGCATTTCTCACCGCACGAGGACCACGTGCCTGTGCGGTGTCTGACACAGGGGGATCTGGGTCATTTGTGGGCATCAGGATGATATAAAACCAAAATCCTGTAAAGCTTCTGTGCAGTGTGTCAAGGGAAGAAGAATGGGGAAATGTTTCAGCAGCTGCATTGCTGTGATGGTTTCAGGAAGAACAGGACTGACAAATGAGTTTGGTTCTCTTTTTCTAAAAACATACTGTTGCCTAATAAAGAAGATTTGTTTTAAACAGTTTAGGTTAAAGGGTATTACCTCCTCCCATATGCTGAACCCTCCTGCTCTTCCCGAATCCCAAAGCTTTCCGGAGGCGTTTGTTCTTAGTTTTGAAATGTCATGAAGAGTGCAAGAATAACGAAATGAGAAGTTAATGTCAGGTGATGAGCAGCTTGGAAGGCAGGCAAAGCGGTGGGGGTTTCTCTTAGGCAGAGAGATGCAGCCTGGTCCTGGAAACAGACTCTCTGCGGATTGCTTCCCAGTGCCCCGGACACCTGTTGACTCCAGCTGAAGCTCCAGGAACTCGCAGATTCAAAATCTATAAACATGACGTAGGTTTTTTTAAAGGGCATGCCTTTAAAAACAAGATATATGGAGGCTCTCATGACCACAGGGGAAAAGGAGGCTTTTAAAGTAAGATTAATTTTCACAGACGTTCAGAAGAAGGAAAAATCCCAATCATTTAAAGGGTTATTTTATTATCTCAACAAGGAAAATGGCATTTGTAACAACCAGGCATAACGTTTTCTGGTAGCCTGCGGATTGTGGTAACATCCTGTAATAAATTGCATCTGTAAGCTGCAGTAGCTACAAGGTCCCATTATTGTAAATAAGGGATCATGTTAATATCTATAGGCTATTAAACTGGCTTACAGTGAAGTCAAATGTCTTAGGAGAGGAAATTGCTACAAAATTATCTGGTAGCACAATAGGATAGCATGTGATTGTGCAGACTTACTACAGGGGAACTAAAGGAAATGGCAATTTTCTGCACTCAGGAGGGGTCCCGTTGCCACAGAATTGAGGCAGATCATGTTTATTACTGTATTTATCTTCCTTTAATACAGTAAGGTTAGGGCAGTGTTGCTGTCTCCATCTTATGATTGGGGAACTGAGTTTTTGAGATGAGAAGGGCCTTGCCCAATGTCAAAGGAGAGTCTGTGGTGCAGCGTGCTATGGTGGCTTTTATTTCTGGAGCTCCAGCTGCCATTTTCCCCACTGGACCTTCTCCACGTACCTGCTCTGCTTTGTGTGACCCTGTAGACAGACACAGCATCCCAGATCATCCTCAGGCTGAAACATCTTTAAATGGGATTGTTCAGTGTTTGCTGAATTGGGACCCTAGAAAAAGAAAGGAGATAAACCCTCAGGTGACAGAAAGACAAGCATCTTTCCGTATGTATCCTAGGTTAGACCTACATGGGTTAAATGGGAGGGAGGTCAGCTTCCATGGGGGAGGGCAGGTTTAGAGGCTGAGTCTTTCAGCTGGTCTGAGCCCATCAGATTTCCAGGAACTGAGCTAGTGACTTGGACTCATTGTGCTTTTATCAGTCCCTCGTGTGTTGGAGCCCTTCGCGAAGAGGTGCTAATATTGCCTTTAGCAGTTGTTTCCTATGCAGGCACGCTTGTTTGTGCAATTGCATGAGGCTGGCTGCACTTGCAGCCGAGGTTTGTGTGTGCGAAACAAGAGCAGAAGGGATGGCCAACACAAGATGCAGGCAGTAACGTTGTGTCACCGGAAAATACAGGGAGCAGAACACAAATACTGTATTTATCATCAACAGCAATCTCCTGGAATGTGCTCCTGACCAGTCCTGGGAGCGTGTTTCCCATATTGCATGTGTTAGGCAAGCTTTGGGTTTGGTTTAAAGCGGAGCTACCTCCGGAAGGCAAATTGCAAATGGCTATTGTATTACCTGGAGCAGATGGGGGGTGAAAGTCATCCCACCGGGCTTCAGGTTTCTTTCAGCAGATGTGGAATGAAGGGAGATGGATTTCTTGCTACCTGCTGTGCCTCTATCTACAGCAGTCCACATCTGTACCCTCACGTAAACTAAGAACCAAGCGGGCAGGTTATTTTCTAGCGGGGTTTCTTGTCTTCTCTCTGCATATTCTTGCAAGAATAAAAATTAAGCCTTCCAGAAGTACAGAGAGCATCTGAAGAACAGGCAATCCTGTGCAGAGAGGCCACACAGATCAGTATCATCGCTCCATGGATTAGAAAGCATCAGTCCTGGGTTTGGTTTCTTTTCCCTAAACAGTGCAGCTAGTGGTTAGAGTTGGTTTTTTGTTGTTTTGGGGGTCTTTTTAAGTGTATTATTTGACAGGGGAAAAACCTGCTAGGCAAAGAGGCTTCTAGAGACCAGAGGATCCACTCAGCATTTAACAGTCCTGCAGTTAACATCTGCATTTTGCCCCTGGTAAAGTGATAGCAATATATACCCAAAAGTGATTTATTAAAATGCTTTGAGATCCTCGGATGGAGAAGTTAATTATCATTTTGGGCAGTCTAGACGTTGTACACTGAGGGTCACAGCCCATGAACGTGTGTCAGTGAAGAGGTCTTTGCTGGAGATTATACCTTCATATAAATAAAAATTTCAGTGGGTCTTTCTTCCCCTTTTTATCAACTTTTCATTAAGGAAATTGTTTGCCAAGTGTGATTCTTTGATTAAGTACATGCATTAATATGTTTAGATGTTTAGTAATTTTCTTCTTAAGGGTCAACCTTACATACATGTTTAAGTCGCAGCGTCTGCTCCACAAATAGCTAATGGAATTGTTTTTCTGCATTAAATCATGAATGTAGGGGTTTTGTACCAGGATTTTAAGTGTCTTATTGATTGTCCCTTACAGCAAGCACGAAAGCAATTTAAAAAACAATTCCCTAAAATCTGTAGAGGAAAAGAGAAAGGTGAAGGGAATTCCCTGCCTTGATCGGGACATGGGACAACCTTGTGAGCTGTGTGCTGCAGGGAGGTGCGACCACCGAGTGAGGACTCAACCTTTGTTGAGTCTCAGGACGATGTAAAAGGATTGCTTTAACTTCTTTGGGACACCAGAGACCAAATGGAGCAGGAGCTTGTCCAGAACACATGTCTGAGACCCACGTGTCGGGGCAGAACTCTGGAAGCGACCTTGTCTCTGCGTGATGCTAAGTATCCTCCAGGTCGCAGGAGGTTGATGGGACCTGGAGACCTGTGGCAGGATCAGGCCCTTCGATCTTTACCTTGGTGGTGCAGGGCAAACATAAAGGATCTCTTTGTGACCCAGGTAGGCTCACAGAGAGGGCATGGCTACATGCCAAGGGTAAAACAGAAACAAAAGCCCCATTCTGGTGCTCCCTGAACTCAGATGCTTTTCCTTTGCCCTCAGACATGGAGTTTTTCTTATTTCTCTGGCTGCTTTCTTCCCCGCCCTCCCTGAAGAGGATAACTTACTTGAGAAGTTCAAGTCTCTGAGATGAAGGAGCCATAGCTTGCACAGTGCCCCTGGGACGCAGGGTCCTGCATGTCCCCATCCTCGCTGCCCTTGTTCCCTGGCCAGCCCAGAGTCCCCCAAGCCTCCCCAGGGAGGAGAGGGGCAGCTGGGTGCCGAAAGACAATGTCAGGGCAAAAACACAGTTCTCCACCCTGCCAAGTCCTTCTCGTCCTCCAGCTCGGTGCTCCGCTGTTCTTAGGAAGTCGAGGATGTCTTGCATGGGATCAGAGGGAAGGTTCCCCTCCAAGAGGCAGGAAGGATGGTGTGGACAAGGCGGGTGACATGGAGCCAGTGGGCTCTGCCGGGGACAGAGCCGCTCTCGAGAGCGGGAGGGCGGGCAGGAGTCTTCGTGCTGGTCTCCGGTCGGCGCGCTGCCAAGCCGCCTACATCCTGAGCCCAGCAAACTTCACGTCGGAGCTGGTAACCGCACCGGCCGGGCGGCAGTGCTGTCATGTGGGCGGTCGTCCACCAAAGGCCAGGATGAGATCACCCATCCCCGAGGCATGTATTCCTGACCTCACCCTTCTCTGTCATTTGTTGGCCACTGAGGGGTTATTATTTCCATCCCTGTCCTTTTGCAGTGACATTGCAATACCAGGATTGCAGCAGGAGCCTTGTGCCTTCAAAGGGCTCAGAACGTCAGCAGGATTTTATCTGCTAGGTTTTAGGTTTGGGCAGGATTTATCTCCTTCTCCTAGCGTACATTTTCCCAGTTCTCTGGTCACATTCACCTACTCAGTGTTAAATGAAATAAACAGTAATGTCATTACAATAATAAACCTAAATTAGATCCAGACATCCCTCAGTAGCTCAGAACTTGCTCTGCATACCGGCACCGGCTTTGCCGGGCCCCCATCCCCAGATAGGAGGGTTAAAAAAACCTAAGCACAGCCTGAGCTCTGCACAGCGACTTAAATGTCAAGTGGTAAAGGGAGGAAATTCCCCGCAGCCCACTTCCCTCTGAACTCTCCATCCCTGCCTCCAGCCACGCAGCAGCTTCCTGGCTACGACACGTTTCCTCATCCCACACCCCCTCTCCGCTACACGAATTGCTAAATACAAACTCATACAGGTACGAGGAGCTGCCTTGGGAGTGGAGCCTGAGCTGGGGATGGTCATGGCCAGCGGTTTTAATTTAGGATGGTAATAGAGAGGTTCATGAGGCATGCTGACTGTAGCATTTTACCGACAAGAACTGCTCTGCGATTCTCACTGCTTATTTGTGTAATGCTTAGGAAAAGGGAGCTTTGGTCTCTTCTGGGCTACTGAGACATGAAGAATATTATCTGCCCAGCGTTACGCTGCGATTCCTATTAGGGATGGTGCTCCGCAGCTGAACTGAGCCACGCACCACGTGTGGAATTTTAGTTATGTTACTGGGAGAAACGAGCCAAGATCGCGGCCGGCAGTCATCAGTGGAGATACACCAGAGATAAATATTCCCCACTGAGATGCTGGCCCTGACAGTTTTGCTGGCTGTATGGGACTGTATTTCCAATCCTAAGCATTTTGACAGCTCAGAGCGTGGCTGCAAGAGGAGTGTGTCCCAGTCGCACGTGGCTCCCGCTGACCTTGCTGAGGCTCGGCGCGGCGGCAGGGCTCGCCTCTTATCCCTGCTCTGCCTTGGGCTTCCTGGGGAGCTGCTTGGACCGTCATGATGCTTGCGTCGTCTTCCCTGGGAAGAAGCAGAATAACATCCCCTGCGTTCCTTGTGGGGAGGAGCAGTGTCGCCAAGCTAAGGGGAAGCCTGGAGAGCACTCAGAGATTATGCCAGGAAGGTTTATAAAAGCACATCACGTTATTCCTCCTTCCTATGCCAGGACTGACAGCACATTCTCAGCCTGTGGCTGGGGCAGGATGATGAGCAAGGACCTTCCCACCTTGTTTCTGGCTGCAGATCCCTGGATGAGGCCAAGAGATGGCAGAGGCTGGGGTTACTGTCCACAACATGGTATTTGCTCAGCCACTGTGGACCACTGGCCACAAATCGGCCTGTAGCTTAAAGATTAGGGTGTTTTCTTAGCGAGATGCCAGCCTGATTTATGGGGGCTTGCTGTCTGCACGCAGGTTATTTTTAAGGCAGAAGAGCTTTTAGACAGATGCAAGGGGAAGACGTGCAGAGTTTGATGGTATATGATTGATGTCAGTGCCTCCTATTCATACTAATGTTTCATTCCTTCTCTGCAGGATGAACAGAAGTGCATAGAAACAGTGGAACTGGAGAGTTATGACAAGTGCCAGGAACTCCGTGCGCTACTAAAAAAGAAAAACCGTTTCATTTTAATCCGCTCCCCGGGTAAGAAGGTAGGATTGCCTTTCTCATCACCCTCAAGCCTGCAGACTCCAAAATGAGTTCCCAGACAGCTGTGCCCAGAGCAGATGAAATGCTCTGAGATTTAGCTCTTTGGCAGCTGGGAGAAATGACCTGTGGCTGTGAATGGTCTACAGTGTGTAAGGAGGAACGCTACTGTCTTGTAGACTTTCTTCTTGTGGTGGGGAAAGGGTCTTTCTGCGACTTAGCTTTTTCCTCTTGCTATTTTTCCTGCCTTATCATTTTCTTTCTTCCAGTACTCCCTGAACAGTGGAGAATGACCATTCCCTGTGGTTCCCCCATGTGCTCTGGGCGAGGAAGTGTCCCTGTCCCAGCTGCACATGCTGTAGCTTTGCCTAAGTTCCAGTGAAATCAATGATCCTGATCCATGTACTGAGACAGTTCCCGGAGTTGGAACTGTTGATCTGAGAAACTCCAGTCCAAAGTTACTTGCAGCCAAACAGTTCCTAGGAGAAAAGATTTATTTTGCAGAATTCATAAAACTCTGCATCTTTAGCGTCCTGCGCAGCATCTGTTTAGATCCAGAACCTCACAACCAGGCTGGTGTTGCAAAGAAGTTATACATCCAGCTGAGCACTGACTGCATGCAAGGATGTGCTTGACTTACTTCCTATGTAGGTTCATCATCACTACACATCTCTGGAAGTTCTCTTTAGTTCCTACTTACATGCTATCCGTTGCAGCTTCTTTATGGGCTAAGATGCTTCTGTTGTTACTCTGAAGCCTTGCACTTTGACTTACATTCTAATTAAATGTGATTTTATTGGCATCAGAGATCTTATTAAATCTCCCCATGTAAATCTGAGAGGTTGTGAGAGACAAAACATATTCATTTCCATAAGAATATGAACGGGCAAAAATACCAACTTGCCTGCATTCCCTCATCTCCATTTTGTTTAAATAAATGGAGATTGTTTAGTCCTTGTTGTCATTGTTGCTTATTCTTTCACTCCAGTCACTTAGTGTTTATTCATATAATAAGACCCCAGCTGAGTTCAGAGCATCATTGTGCTAAACTTCATTCAAAACAACAAGACAAGGACTGTCCTGCCCCAAAACACTCACACAGACCAGGGTGGAGGTGGAGAGAGAAGGTGAATGATGTTCGTTTTGCAAGTAGGCGCAGTCCGTATCGGGAGAAAAGTGGTATTAAGCACCATGCACCAAAGTGATGGTAGCCAGGGACTTTGCACCCTGGGCTAGTGAGCTCCTGCTCAGCACCGGATCCCAGAGCAGTGAGGCTCTCCAGCCTGAGTGGAGGTTTAGCGTTTGTTTTCTAACTTGATTAATCAGAAATAATGTCAATTTTATATTGAAAGTGGCTAAAACTGGCAGGCTTGGTGTGTTTTCTAGGGGGTGGCTCAATAACTACAAGTGCACACCTACTCCCAGGGAGGTGAATAAAAGCCTGTGTGCTCAGAGCTGGGCGGCATAGCAGGAATTATTACATAGTAGGAATATACTGCGAGTATGTTACTGGGAGAGGCGCAGTGTGTAATGGCTGCATATGTCTCTGCACTGCTGTATGAATCAATACAGGGTGTGAGACCTGTTCCTAAACCTTTCATTTCTTGCTAGGAGAAAGATATGCCCAAACTCTGCCCCGAAAGGGTAACTTCATCCTTTTGGCATGTTGGCAAGTTTACAGCTCCCCTGTTTTTCATGCCACTGATTAAATGGAGACCTAGATAGAGGCTACTTTTTATAAGGCTCTTTTGGTGAAAGGAAGGGCTTTTATAAGTGAAAAGTTCCCTGTTTTTAGCTCCCCTCCCACCCTCCTTTTGGCTGGGAATCTGGTGAGGGTGTTGACACACAACATACTTTGGCAGATGTTAGAACAGGCTCCAGTTAGGAGGCCAATGTACACAACTGTCCTTCTTCTGTTTTGAAATTGCAGCTGTGGCGATATAGATCAGCTAAACATTTTCCATTTGGGAGGCTTGCTGCCATCCACAGTTTAAAATCACCCTGTGAGCTGCCTTGCCAAGCCCTGCCAGATCTTGCTAGGGTTTTTTTGCCCCCTCTCCTGAGCACGATGGTGAGGAATGCAGAAAGCCAGTGAGTTTGTGGGACTTATAAACAAGCTAGGAAGGGCCAGTTCTGTTTCAGTGTACAAATAGGAGTTTCCCTGTTGAATACAGGGGGCCCAGTTTAGCTGTAGGGGAATCCCAGTTAAAATCTTGGATGAGATATTCTTGAAGATCAGAGGAGATGAATCAGTCAGTTAAAACTACTCTGCAGCTAAAGTTGCACCCAAATAAATAAGTTGCCTTGCTAAATACTGGTCTTTGATGGATGTACCCCAGATTCTGCTTGCCCTGTTTGTAAGGATGACGTTTTTGTTAAGCTGTGACAATATGAGCATGTCACACGCCTGCGCTGGTATGGAACTGAAAGAAAGCACTGCCCCTGAGCTTCGATTCTTCAGTGAAGGAAGCTGGAAGTGTGCAAAAGACCCGTTCTGCTTAGAAATCTCAAATGCTTCATGCCACCCACAGCAATTAAATGAAAACTGTTGGATGCAGAGAGCTGAGCTTGTAAGAAAGGGCAGCAACCTTGGCCTGGAGACTTTAAAACATAGTCACGATGCAAAAAGCAGTGTAAATGATGCTTGGTGTAAACTTGGCCTAGAAACTACAGAGATTGGCACAAGTCTGGTATTCAGCGGGTCTGAAAGCCTTAAGAATGGGAAGAAAGAGGGTGGTAGTAAGGAAGCACTGCAGCTCCCCATGCGTCCTTTCCTAAGCACGGCCAGGCACAAACTCCACACCTGCGGTCACGGGTGGAAACTTCCATTGCTTATTTTTCCCTTAGTAGACTTTGGAGGTACCTGCAGCTGCCTTCAGCAGGGGCCCAGCCTGGAAGCTGCAGTAGATCGCGGTGAGGCACGTTTGCCCTGTGCATGGAGGAGTCTGCTCCTGGGGTCTGCCAGTTTGGCAGAGATGCTACGTTATTCCCAGGGATGAGGTAGCTCTTGGTTCAGCTGCAGAAAACCACAAGAATTCCCTGACTGACAGTCCTTTGGCTTCCACTTTTCCCTCCATGATCTAACCTGACAAAGTCATGTAGAAGAAGGCAGGAGATGACCTCACGTCTGGCAGACAGACTGTGGTGCACTCTCGGTAGTTTAAGATATTATTGACCCAGCTCTGCTCTGGCTTCTGCTGGAGGTGACCACCCCGTACCAAAAGTCAGCTGAAGGGAACACATTCCCACACCTAAACCAGCAGTTCACAAGCAGTTCACAGTCCAGTTTAGGCCTGTCTCACTGAACTGAAGCCAACAGCAGGCTTTGCACTGAAACAGCTGAGGAGCAAGCACAGGTTTCTGTCGCCCACCTCTGCTGCAGATCATCAGCATCCAGCAGAATTGCTCAGCAAAGAGCTAGTGTTGATAAATGTCTTAAATTGCAGCTATACAGTTCTCCAGAGCTTGTCTGTTAAATCATTTAGTGCAGGTACAACAGACTGACCCTCAGAACACTTTTCTTTCCTGGAAAGCAGGGTCAGCATAGCCATGAGACTGTCACTGCTTGAAGAGACTGATGTCTCCGAGAAGACACGGAGCAATCGGGGACACTGTGCTCACTGCCATCACGGACAGTGACCCGTGTGTGAGCCTCTTGTTGCACGACATCTAGCCAGTGATTCAGCAGGCGCTGACTGGCCGTGCTGTGCTCTGAGTTAACTGACAGGAAATTGCGTAGTCTGTATTCATGGCTTACAATGTTCATTATCACAGTCACTATCCCATTAGGTTTAGCCATGACAGCTTTTCCTGGCATACCAGCCTGTTGTTTATGGCATGACTCAGTCTCAGCTGGCTTAGCAAGAAGAAGAGCAAATGTGCCTGCTGTCCTCTTAGATTTGGTGTCACTGACTCTCTCCTTAAATTGCTGCTGGAGAACAAACCCTGCTTAACGTTTTGTGGGGAGTATCCATCTTCAGGTGCATCCTCTGATATCTCTGAATACTCAAATGAGTAAAAATGCAGACAACATAAATTCACTTGTTTCTTGTTTGTAGAGGATCTGGGGGTCTCAGACTAGTGTACAGAACCCCAGTGGCAGGCAGGACTGAGACCTCCAGTTCCTTCCTGCCTCTTCTCCGCAGCCCTCTGCTTTATAGAGAGCGTCCACCCTGCGCTGGGTTAGCCTTCTCTCCCCAGTGCCGTGGCCAAGGCTGCGAGCCACAGATGGATGCAGAGAGACGAGGGACTGCAAGGCAAGAGACTCTGGCCGGCAGCACCCCGAGCATCAGCCTCAGAGCCCCAGCAGCATGACGCTTCCTTGGTGTCTGCGGACGTTGTTCTAAAAAGGAGAAAAAAGTTTTCAAACAAAAAGATAACTGGGTGTACTGGGAGGAACCTGCTAGTCCCTTGTCCGTCACAGCCCCAGGGACTTGTGCAAGCAGGGAGCAGGGCTGCAGCAGCATGAGTGGCACTGCCCGCGCTGCCCCGTCGCAGGGAGCGGGGTCCCACGCAGAGTGCTGCTTGTCCTCCCTCGCCCAGCCCTTCGGGAAACTGGAGGGCTCTTTCTGCTGCCGTCTTGGGAGCATCTTTCCACAAGTCTTTTTCCCTCACCATCCGTTGGGTCTGCCTTGGGTGGCTGCAGAGGTGGGTCAGCGTTACACCGTGCGGCAGAGGGTTGCATGCCGGAGGGACATCTCAGCTTCTCATTAATGACAAACCATCCCCCCGAGGCTTCGCTCTGCCCTGCCCCAGGGTTGCTGACACCAGCGCTTAGTCACAGTCTCTGAGGCTTTATTCGGGGGCCGAGAATGAGGCACAGAAAGTGGCACTGGAAGAGGAAGCTTGAAGTGAAGCGTTACACCGTGCGGCAGAGGGTTGCATGCCGGAGGGACATCTCAGCTTCTCATTAATGACAAACCATCCCCCCGAGGCTTCACTCTGCCCTGCCCCAGGGTTGCTGACACCAGCGCTTAGTCACAGTCTCTGAGGCTTTATTCGGGGGCCGAGAATGAGGCACAGAAAGTGGCACTGGAAGAGGAAGCTTGAAGTGAGGCAGGAATCCTTCCCTTGAACAACATGTACGGAGATTTCTAAACCCTGGTGCAGGCTGCCAAGTCTTTGCCAGGCAGTGCAGCAGCTCAGCTGCTCACAAGTAGAGCTTTCTCATAAGCTTTTATAATCACAAAGCTTTGGGGCAAAATCGTTTCCAAACAAAAAAAGTTTTTAAGCACACACAAAAACAGGCCTGCTTGGACTAAAACAAAATCTGGCTGTCGCTCTGTTTTGGAGCCTTGCCTTCCCTTAGGTTCCCTGGTTAGAGTGGCCCTTCTACGCCCCAGACAAAGGGCTCTTTTTGCAGCAGGCTGTAGTTCAGGCCCTAACCTCTCCTCTGAGCTCTCAGGAGACATGTGGTTCCGTCACCTTATGTGCAAACTAATTGAACAAATAATCTTTCCCCAAATTGCTTCTTAACTCCCTGCTTGCCGTGCTGGTTGTGAGGGTCTGGCACTTTGTCACTGAGATGTGCAGATGTGAAACCATGGCATTGAAGCGAAGAATAAATGCAGAAGGGAAGGGCGGTCGGTTTCTAGCTAAACAGCGGGAGTGTGTGTAAGGAGATCAGGCTTTAGTTCTACAGAATTTCTGATGGTACCTTCAGAAGTTGCTGAGACCCAAAACAGTTGCTGCTTTGTTGTGCCATAAACAAAACAGGGAGCTGCTAAGAGCATTCGACTGTCAGTCACCATTAGCTTCATCACCCTCATTTTATATAGTCCCTGTTTTCTGTAGACACGGCTGTGATTTCAGAATGTGGGGCCTCATTTACAAAAAGGCTGGAACTACAACTGCTCTTGAAGGCAATGGGAAGGTGCAGAATACCTATAGGACATTAAATACCTGAAAAAACTATTCCAAAAGAGACCCAGCTAGTATTTGTTTTGGATGAGCCTCTCTGTATCTCACCTCCCCACCTGTAAGAGGTGGATAATTTCAGTTGCTCCAAAAAGTAATTTGTGAAGCCCCCAGATATTGTAGTGATAAGCAGCAAAGAAAAGATTGTCGGGGGAATCAGTAATTCTGTTTTCAGGGCAGGGCTTGAGCAGAGTGCAATCAATAAGACATATTGACCCATGAGGATAAAACACAGGATGGGATAGCTCAGTAAGAAGTGCTGCCCCTGTCATTAGGTGCTAGGAGGAACACGCACAGCAGGCTGAGTTAGGACTGCCCCAGCGAGGTTGGGATTGTCTAATTTTTTAAGTGCTTGATTTTTGCAGCTTTGATGATGTTCTTTAGCACAAGAGCATTTCTGTGTGCCTGTGCAGTGCAGATTAGGGCACCACATGGCGCTGTTTGGATCCAAGCCAGTCTGCCATAGAGCCACCTGTAACGTGAAGATATTTCTCTCACCTACAGTGTACTTTGGGGCAAAGCTACATAATACCGGTGAGGCGCTCAGAGAGCACAGCAGTGAAATAAATAACACCCTACCTATTGTTCCTGATGCAGTCAAGAAGAGATTCGAAACACTGAGCACAGCCACGGGACTGCCCTGGAGGAAGGGGAGGGCTGGCTGAAGGGAGGATAGGCCATGCAATCACCCATTGCTCCCTCCTTATTTGGGCCCTGTGCTTCTTGCCAGCTCCCTCTTGTATGGCCAACTCTTCCCTTCTTCTTAGGACAGCTGTTCAAACCCCAGAAAGTGTATGTCTGTAGCGTTCACTGCTGTATTTCTTCATTTGCAAACAGAAAAAGATACGGTTAATTTTTTCACTTACATTGCTCTTATGCCTCATCACGTCTGTGCTCAGCTGAGTCGGGGTTAGTGCGGCCAAGGTCAGAGTCCCAGATTCCCGTATCAGTTCTGTTCTGCAGAGCCGCAGGAACAGGGAAACAGGCAGAGCCCGCTGCACGCAGCCTTCCCATTGCTTGCAGCCTCGGGGGAAGCTGGAGCTGAAGTACTTTATTGCATCTCAACCAGGACAAAATGACTTGGACTTTCAGTCTGACTCTCTATACACAGTGTGACCATTCGCTGTACAACTGGCTGCTGCTCTAAGAGCTATTCCGAGCGTTTTGCAGAAGGAAGAAACTCTTACTTTCTTACTACTTTAGTTACTAGTTGCAAAAATAAAACTACAGCAACAAGCTGTTCAGCATAACAAAATCCTGTTCATGGGAGCTATGATGTGAAGTACTTGCCAAAGCGCAAAGGAATCTGTAGTTTAAACACAGGCTGGAACTGGATGTTATATAGAAACTGAAGTGATACACAGAGAGCAGAGAGCTACCTCTCTGTTCCTGGCAAGGAATGCTTGGGCAAAAATTGTCTCTCTGCTTTTGCAGGTTCATGATATCAAATTTCAAGCTCCAACTTTGGAAGAAAAGGAATCATGGATAAAAGCTCTTAATGAAGGGATCAATAGAGGCAAAAACAAAGTATTTGATGAGGTAAGAGGAACAGTTTTCAAACTCCTGTATTTCTGTGTCAGTTCTCATCCGTTGCTTTTTTAGCTAAAAGCAGAACTTGCCTGAGCCCCCGTGCTCCCTGTCCTTCCTGCATGCCAGCCATGGTCGAAGGAAAGAGAAAGATGGTATTCAAGGCAAACCAGGTCGCATCCCCGCAGGCTGGGAGCTTGTAGCTACGTCAGTTCCCAGCCCAAGAAGGTAGAACACCTTCGTGGTGTAGGATGTTTGCACCATCCTATGTCTTGCTGCTTTTCCCTGTCTTCTGGCCGGGGTTCGATGCAGGGAGGAAGGGGCAGCTGGTTGAGTAGACGGTGTGCCGGAGGGATGGTCTGTGCTGCTAAGAGCTAACATCTCCTCAGGAGGCCCACAGGACACAAGAGCTCACCAAAGTCAGTGTGAGATGGTCTGGTGGCTTCAGTGGGTTTGGGATCAGCAAATGCAGGGGTGTTGCACTCTCCCAATGGAAGCGGCTGGTGCAGAGAAACAGCTGCAGCGCTGAGTTGCGTAGAGCTGGGGCTGCAGGCTGGAGAGACCTGTGTTCCTCACACTGCCATGATCCTCAGCACCAAGCAGCCTGGAAATGGAGGTATTTGGTTAGGACATAGCCCAGTCTTCAAGACTGGAAAAATCTGAAGTGACTCAGTCCACCAGCTATTCCGCCTGCAATCTGCAGAGAAGTCTGGTGGAAAGTTACTCCATGGCCCCGGCCAAACCTGCCTGCCTCTCAGCTGGCCCCAGCACACCTGCACTCCCAAATTCTCCAAGGATGAAAATTGCACATCCTAGAGCCTGACTAACCTTGCCCCGCTCCCTGTTAGCTTGTAAATGAGCCCTGAACTAAACCAAAGGAGCTGTATCTATTCTGCAGTTGTTTCAGTAACTGAAAGGAAGTGCACAAAACCACCATCACGGGAATGACTCAAGAAGAAATGGGCAGGGTAATGAGGGGACGAAGCAATCAGCAAGATCTGTTTAGCAAAGGAAACCGAAGCAATGAGTAAAAGTTTTGAGAAAAGGGCTAAGCGCTGCAGATACGGTGCTAGAGATGCGAACTCTGAGAGCTTGGGCTTTGTTTTTATTCAGCAGAGGGCAAAAGCAGGAGGAGAGGCTGGAACACGCTCCTTTTTTGCCAAAGCAAATGGCACCCAGTGTCAGGTTTTTGCTGGTAGTGGGGTATAGCGGTTCCTCAGGCCCTTGGACCAAGTGGGAAGCAGCACATGGAATTAAAGGGACCAGCTGGGACCAGCAGCAGCCTGGGAAGATAAAACCCAGCAGCAGAGAGCTTAGCAGCCAGCTCTGCTCTCATGTTTCAGCGGGTGGGAGATGTGATGTCCTGTAATGCAATGCTGCTCAGCCCTTGCTGGAGCGACCCCGCGCCGGCTTGGAGCTGCCTGCAGGGACACGGCGCGTGGCTCTCCGGTGGGCAGTGGACTCTGCACACCCTTCGGCAGCACAGCAAGGTGGGATCTCGGGTCACCTCCCTGCCACATGGCCTGGGGTTATCCTCCTTACGAGGACCCAGGTTCTCAGAGGGAGCCAGCCTCTAATTCTATTCATTCCAGTACGGATCAGACCTCAGATTTAAAGTGTTTCCGCACAAGCCAGGCACAAGCTAACAGGTCAAGCCCTCAGCTGGCTTGGATTAGTTGTTCTCCGCTGAAAGAGCTGTAAAACCACTCTGCCATATCAGCCAGGGATTGGGACCCATTTTTTGCTTTGAATCCCTATTTCACCCTCGCCAGCTTTCCTATTGTACAAACTGGTGGTCAGCAAACCAAGGGCACGCTGGTGTTTCACCATCCCCGGTCACTGGTGCTGCCCCTCTGCGTGGAGCAGACTCCAGCCCCCAGCTATCGTAACACGGGTGGGTGGGCGGTCACAGAGCCAGCACAGAGAAATACCTGCCAGAAATACAGAGACCTCCCTCCCCACATGCAGGAGGCAGTGGATTTCTCATCTGATTCCAGGAAACAAATGTGCTAATTCAGCTAGAGTTGCAATTAATCCAGGTCACTGCTCACACCTTCTCTTCAGCATCCTGCAGTCATTAGAGCTGTAGAAGGGAAGGTCTGTAACGAAGCGCTGCTGATACAGTTCACAGTCAGGTCACTGTTATTAATGAGCTTTCACCTCTAAGATGGCAACAGCAATTTCGACGCTCTGCTCTGCCACATGCAGGAGCCGGTCCAAGCCTGGGCTGCAGCGAGGACAACAAAGCTGCCTTGTGTCCTTCCTTCCCTGCCCTGTAGGTAGAGGGGAGGTTAGCCATCGCAAACCTCTGAAGGTTGGATGCTTTGCTTTGGAGTGTCTTTTAGATAAACACGGCTCAGTATAGGACAGATACCTTAAATATCCATCACGTACATGCAGGGCTTTGCATGCCAGCTGTAACTAAGGTCTGAGGCGAAGACTGTAGTGGTGAAATATTCAAAACCCTCCTGGATCCAAATGCTCCATCTCTTCATGTGTGACAGTGAGAACTTTACAGACGTATCTTGAGAAATTAATGACCCTCTTTGTTTTTTCTTTCCCTCCTCTTCTCCCCTTTGAAGGTGAAAGTAGACGAGAGCCTTTCCTTGGACCACGTAACTCGGGACAGAGTGAAAATGACCCACGGACGCAGGCCACCCACGAGAAGTCACCTAAAGGAGGTGAGTGCATCCCTTGGTGAGCCATCTCCCCAGCTGGGATCACCAAGAGCTGCTCCTTCCACTTAGGTACAAAACCCCAGGGAAAACTCCAGGTAGAGAGAGAGCCCAGAGAAAGCTGACAAGGGAAACAGCTTCCTCCGGGAAGGATGCGCCAGCACCTCCCTAACGAAGCTCCAGGATCCCATAGATCTGTAGTTGCTGCAACACGTTACAATATATTTAGCTTTCCATAACGCAGGAGCTACTTCACCGTCTGGTGAGAGCCATTATAGTTTTGGTTTAATCAGAAGAGACCGAAGCTTCTATATTTATTTTCTAAGAAGTGATGATTTTGTAGCCACAGTGGTCTAAAGGTAGAAGAACTGCACGGTGTGTGGGGAGAAGCTGTATTTTTTATTAAGCTAACTGGAAAAAGCAGACAAGCTTTCAAGCTTACAAGACTTTCCTTAGGTCTGAAACAGAATACATTATTCTCCCAGGCAGTTTTATGGACTAGTCTGTCTACTCTTAACTGATTTTCTGGATCTCTCACTTAAAAAAAAAAAAAAAAAAGAAAAAACACCACAAAATAAACCTGCAGTTCATTTCTATGGGAGAGGTTCTTACTAATGTTTGATTCCTGTGATTTATGAAAAAGTTGCCACAGACAGATTGATATTTTAGCAGAGCATTAATCTCAACCAAGGAAGGTTTTTAAATCAAACCTTCTTTCTTCAAACTTCCCAGACTCTGACTTATGTGTCTGCACAGCACTCAGATGACCCGTGCAGAAAATGAGATTCCTCAAGACATTTTACTTTGCATAGAAATGGAGGAAGAGTGTCTCTTCTAGAAAAATGCATGGGAATGAATCATAGATTCCCATCCACTCCTCCAGAAAACCGCAGAAGAAAACATGACAACAGTCCAATGAAGTGTGGATTCTCTGTGTCCTCATATAGGTTCAGGAAGGTAGGAAGCCCTTCCCTAGGCACTAAAAAGACCTCTCTCCCCTACTCAGCTCACTAAATTCACAAGATACCTCTGAGGTTAATACCTGTAAGACCTCTCACCTTCAGCCAAATTCAGGGGAAACTGGCTTACAAATTCAGAGGCAGGAATGAGGAGAAAGGGAGGGGATAGAGCCTGCAGAAGGATGTGTATCACGGCTGCTGGCTGTAGTGTCGTGAAGGAAATGGGATGAACGATGGTTTTCAGTGTCAAAGCAGGCCAGGTGAGGACAGGTCAGGGCCAAGCTGCCAGGATGCAGCTTGCCTCCGTCTCTCTGATGGGCTGGGAAGGCAAAGAGAGACTTCAACTAAACTCCCTACACTGCAGGAGTCTGGCCCTGGCTGCAGCTATGCCTTCGTGTGGTTTTGGGTTCCCTCACACAGGAACTGTCACCGCATTTCTCCCCCTGGGGCACTGAGTTTACAGGCTGCAATTACTTTACTAAGTCTTTACTAAGTCCATCCTTTTTAGGAAAACCCCCCTACTAGAGTGATTTGCACACAGCCTGTGGTTTGAAGGAGGTTTAACCAGCTGAGGCTTGGCCCCGGTAAGACAGGGATGACATCAGCTTGGAGGAAGCAAGCAGAAGGCAACGGTATTACAATAGTATCACTGGCCAAGCGATCTAAAGATCAACTTGGTTTATATGTTCAAATGAAAATATGACAGTCCCAAAAGCAGAAAGCAGGTGTAGGCATGTTGTAAATGAAGGGAGTAGAGGGATCCAGCTACCACAGGATAAAGAATTAAAATATGGCAGAGCTGACCGCTTAGCACCAACAGGAAAACCAAGAAGTAAGGTTACTGTGGAACAGGCTTTGAGACGTTCTTCTCAAAGGAAGTAGTAAAATAAGTTCTGTGCTTTTGCCCTAATTCTTGACTGCTTATGGTCATTGGCTTTGATATGCTCGTGCAAGTTGCTGCACCATCTGGCAGAAAATAACTCGGCAGCAAAACGCTCATGACGTTCACAGAACCTGTTGTTCTGGGGAAAAAGCGGGGCTACGCAGGGGGATGGAAGTGCTTCACTTGATGCATTCAAGATTTGCTGCAATGTACCTGACTTGACCCAACTTTCTTCTTTGTTGGGTGAAATATTTGGGACTCGTGATTATCATAGCTCATTAAATTTTAGCATAGCAGATCACATTGGGTTTCACTTATCAGATTAACGCTGGTAGAGCTGGCTACTGCTGCTGCAGGGAAGAAGTGTAAGCTCCATAGATTACTCTTGAGCTACAGAAAAAGCTGCTCTTAAGAGCACCGGTTTTGTTTTCAGTCAGATTCTTCTTGCAGTTTCGACAGACGTAAGTATAAATGGGGTGGATGTGTGAAGCAGCAACCCCTCGCTTGCCATGCTGGTTGTGAGGGTCTTGCACTTTAACCTCAAGTTAAAGGATGGAGCACAGGATTAATGACGAGATAGATATTGAAAAAGTTCGCTCTTATATTTCAGGCTGCCAAGTGTACATCAGACGGTATCCTGCGACTAGATCTGGATATAGTAGACAATGGACCGCCAAACTTTGATTCCACTATCAGCGAAAGTGACAATGTGCCACCTCAGAAAGAAACTCCAAAGCCACCTATGCCACCTACAAAACCCACTGGCACAAAAGAAAACCAAGATGCAGAGAACAATGTTCCTGACCAGGAACATAAAAAACCTCTGTCTCCTCCGTTGCCTCCAGATAAGAAGCTTAAGGAAGGCACAGCATCAAAGGACAATGTAAATGCCAAGGAAGAGGACTCTGTAAGCCCAGAGGAGAATGTGGAAGGATCCCAAGCACCAAGTGAGGAGAACAGAGAGAACCTCATTGAGGTCAGCAACAGGGGCATAGCAAAAGCTCCAATTCCTCTTCCTAAGAGCGTGCCAGACAAGCTAAAAGTAGCTTGGGACCAACCAGTCCTTGAGCCTAAAAACGCAGAAGACCTGAAATCATCAGGAGATAGTAGCAAAGACAACCTTGCTGAGATTAGCCTCCTGTTCCTCCTAAGGTTCTGTCAGAAAAAATGCTAGCCACAATGAACTCCAGCCATGGTGACCTGGAAGCTGGGGTTTGGGAAGACCTGGAGTCTGGCAGCTCCAAGCCCCCGGTGAATGGGATCTCAGCCAGCGAGGTAGCAGAGTCCACATCCCCAACAGCTGAAACTGAAGAAGGAAATGGGAGAACCTCTGCCGAGAAGGAACAGCAAACTTCAGCAGAAGAGACAGAGACTTCCTTAGCTACAGAAACAGGCCATGAGAGTGTAAAAGCACCTATTGAGAAGAAAGCGTCTGTAGAAAGCACTTCAGGTCTCAAACTTCGCAGTTCTTCTCTGGGAGACTTGCTGTCTGATTCCAAAAATACACAGAGAGCACTTCCAGGCCAAGGTTTCCCCAAGGATTCCCATCACTGCTTAGCTAAAATGGAGGAGAAAGTTGCTAATGAAAGGGAAAAGGCAGAAAAACTCCTGCAGAAGGTTTTACGTGAAGGGTTGGAACAGGCCCAGGAGGGGAACGGACCCCCAGTGATGGCAGAGACATTGCTCAATGAGGCAGTAGAACAACTTCGGCAAGCCTCACAAGTTTTGCAAGAAATTAAAGGTCTTGGAGAACTGAAAAAAGAAGCAACACAGAAACAGAAAGAAAAGCAAAAGGATTTAGTGACTCTTTATAGGAGAAGTGCTCCCTAACATACTCTTCAAAGAGACTTCTTTCTCAAAATCAAAGCTAAATGTTTGCCATTTATGATTTGTACCATTGCTAGGCCAGTGTTTAAAAGGTGGTGTTTTGCTGTGCACGTACCATGTTTATGGGACAGAATTGAGCTTTCAGTTATAGCATCTTTCTATCTTTCTTCATGCTGTACATACCAGTCTGGTTCTAATCCTCTTAGCACAGCAGAAGGTTACAGGACATTGAACGGTTTCGAAAATGTGAATGCTCTTTAAGGACTCTGTCCAAAGTCCTTTCAATGGATCAGGCCTTAAAAATTACTGGTAATCAAACCAAGCCAGATTTTTGAAAGGAGCAGAATGGCTATTCCAGCAAAAGCCCCTTTCTATCTGTATTTACAGACAAGCAGATACCAGATTACGCTGGCACCTATCTGGTTTTCCCAGTTAAATCATTTAAGGATAAATGTAGTCAGTGTTTGTTCACTTGCTGGCAAGGTTTCCCAGACCACCTGGCCCAGTGACATCTAGGAATGTAAAGATAAATGGTTTAACCTTCTCCAAAGATACTTATAAAACCACATCCACAGTTAAAAAGTGACCTCACACAAAGGCAAACAAAACTGGCCAACGCCTGACTACAAGTAGTGTCCTCACATCTGGAGCAGCTGTACGAAGGCACTTTCTGAGCCTGGCTGTGCAGAGCTTTAGGTGTGCTAAGCACTGCGTAAGTGAACGCAAGTCTTGATGCATCATTGCCAGGCAAGTATTAATTGTTCCTGTTTCATTAATCGGGAAGTTGAGGCAAAGAGCAGGTTAGACTTGGCCTTTGAAGGAGTGTCTTCTAGCAGCACAACACGTTGATTATTGAGGACCATAGTTATCTGGTAACTCTGAATTCCCTCATCATCGTTGGGAACAATTAACCAGGCATTTGGAGAACTTGTGTCCAGGAGATCCCCAGGAGCTTCCTAGGAGAGCTGTCATTAAGAAGCTTTAGGGATGTGTGTTCCCTCAGCTGTGGGCTCGCTCTCTGTGTTGTCTTGGGATGTTAACTGACAGGAGCATGCACATCAGGCAGCGGGTCTGGATGAGATCCCTCTTCCTATTTAACATGTCTCTACCTGCTGTGTCCTGGCCAGCCTGACAGCCATGGTTTGGCAGAGATGTCTGTAATTGGAGTACATGGAGGGAAAAGCATTTTGCACGCACAACTTTGGGGCTGCTCCCAGTGGCTTAAGTATATTAAAATAAAAATGCATCGCTACAGAAGGGTCTGAGGAAGGCATTGCAGAAGGCACAATTCCCACAGCTTCCCTGCCCACCTGCTGAAAGCAACGACAGTTCCCGCGGTCTTTAGTGATTCCAGCTGTGATAAAACCATGTCTTTGCACCACTGCTGTATAGCCCTGTACCTGCGCTGGGTCCCCTCCCCTATTCTCTATAGTTGCTCTGAGGAGAATCGTATGACAGCCCAAGGGGCTTCTCCTTTGCTTGAGCCAGACTCTGGAAGCATGGAAAAGGGCGATCTTCCCAGTCTGGTTTTAAGAGCTACCTAAGCTCTTTTCTCTTGTTTGCCAGCACTGTCCTCTTAGCTCACCCATTTCTTTTTCTTCTGTTCTTTCTTTTATAATTTCCCACAAGGCTGCATGGGCTGCAAACAGCAGCAGCTCAGTAAAGCTTCATCTAAGCCTCTTCTTAGGCTAGGCAGTGGGCACTTCAGGTCTGAGCACAGAAGTGTTGGCTTTGGGCTTCCAAATATCCTGTTTTTCACCACCCGGAGCCACTAAGACAGGTGACTAGAACTGATGCTTCTGCCTCTTTTGGTTAAAGCAGCCTTGGTTTCAGCGGTCTGTCCCCCTCTCAAGACAGCCATAGACATCGCATGGGAATTCACTTGTTATTCTCTCACGTGGAAAGTTCTACGCGGTCAAACACTCAGGGCTCAGGTGCCAAAAAGCTTTGCTTTGAGACAAAAAGATTCCTAAGTCCTAAGCCCGCTCCCAGGCACATAGCCTGGAGCAAACTCTGGATCTGTGTCATTTGCTGCTGTAGATTCAATGTGAACCATGGGTCCTACTTGCCTTTCCAGACATACTTAGGACAAGGGCTAATAACACAGACAATATTCAGTGCCTATCTGCTATCTAAATATATTTTTCTGCATGTGCACTTTTGTTTACCGAACACTGTGTGGTATGAATGTGAGCTGTCAGAACCTGGTGTGCACTGGAAGTCGAGGGACATCAGCTTCAGAGAGCAGGCAGGCTTTTGCAAGATGCAGTTCTATAACAAGAGATAAATTAGATGGGGAAAAAGCAGTTCACACTAACAGGAAGACCCACAAACCAGGGTACAGGTTCATATCCCAAAGCAGAAGCCAGTCTTAAACTCCAGGATGGGCAAATCAAAGCCTGGAACTGAAAACCCAGGAGAATGAAAACAGCTTATGGGATAGCTCAGTCCCCTAATTTATATACAAATGCTTTTGCTCTCGCAGGTGTTTTCTTGTGGCGATGTGTTCTGTGGATACCCGTCTGGCAAAGCGCTGATGAAAATACCCAGACATCCCTACCTGTTACAGCCAAACCTACAGGATGTGCTTATATTTACTGTATATTTTTATATTATACTGAATATTCTAATGAATAAATGTCTGACATTTTACTGAATACCCATCAGTAGGACTCTTAACAGATAAAAATCCCTGTATCTGTTAGGAAATGGGCAAGTTAAATCATTTTACAAGCTACAGCTAATTACTGTATTTGCTGTACTAACAGAACATACTAGATTGTATTATGTCTTGTAAATAGGTATAACTTAAGTGAATCTCCTTAGCACCCAGTAACTCTACTGCTGAAAATGCTATGTTAGAGACTCTTTCGTTTTAACTATTTTTTCTAATAGGGTTAGCAGTTCATCCTAAAATGTCTACCCCGGCCGTAAGCCTGATTCATCTGGACTTTGCAGGAAAAAACTCATCATATTCCTTCTGCAGTTTTCCCACTTGTTCTTCTCATTCTGGTCATGAGCCAGGCCCTGCCTAGAGCTGGAAACTGCCTTCTGGGGTGTTTTCACATGCTCCTCTGAAAATGGCAGTGCTGGTCAGAGTCAGAGACAGCGTTCCGGTCTGCTCTGACCTCATACAACTCCCATCTTCAGTGTACATCCTGCCACTATGCACTTTTAAAAAAATCTTCCTTTAAACTTACATATAAACTTACATCTAATTTCTAGCTGCACTAAGGCTGTTTTTTTGTGCCTGAAAACCCTGTGGGCATGGAGCGCTGGGGTGTGAGTCTGTGTTTTGGGCTGTGCCACCAGGTTACATGTCTGTGACAGGAAGGAAGTGAGTTTGCAAGCAAGCAAATGTGGATGACTATCTGAAAAGCAGCTGCTGCAGCCCGTGGAAAGGTAGCACTTTGTCTCCTGCTTGTAAAGAGCTTTGAGATTTGGCAATAAAACCCCCTTTTGAATATCAGCTGTTTAAGAGCCATTTGTCCTAAATAGGAACAAAGAAGAGCCACCAGGACCAGCACATGGAGGCTTTGCTCTAGAGGAGGGCGCGTTGCACAGGCTGTGGTCAGGCTGGGGTGAGCTAGATGCTGTGCTAACCACAAGCCCGGAGGAAGGAGAAGCACTGGGGGCTGCGGCTGGCACAGAGCTGGGGCTGTGCAGTTCCTGAGTCATCCCTGCCTGCCAGCTTGGCTGCCCTGGCCAGAAAGCACGGCCGAGGCCAGGATCTGCTCCTGCTCCTTCTGAAAAGCAGTGGGAAGCATCCTCATTGCTGGAGAACTCACCAAGCGCAGTCTCCAGGAGTGCTGTCTGGGCTGCCCTTAACGTCTTCACGTGGACTCTCTGGTGTCTACAAAACGTTGAGCTCACTCAGAAGTCGTCCCCTTGGTGGTGAGCAACACCAGAGCCTTGTTCCTCTGCCCAGATGCCAGTAAGCTACAGGAAGACAAGAAGCTGGTATCATAGTGACTGCTTCCCTTCTGCGAAAACCGGGTAGAAATTGGTCAGTAGATTCAAAAGTTACGAAGAAGCAGGGAAAAGAGAGCAAGTATACGTGCCGTCCTATTGCACAAGCTTGGCTTCATCTGGGTAAAAAAATATGCTTAGCAAACCCTCTAACCCCTTGCTGGGAAGGGGGCTGTTCCTCAAAGGAGTCTCCAAGACACAGGGTTGATTTCTACAGATACACTGTAGAGAAAAAGGCCCTCTCTTCCTCTCGCACTAAGAAAACAGGCAAATCACATTTTGGCCTTAAATTGATGTTGGTAAGGAAGGGAAGTGTCTAGCGCTATGTGGAACACGATTAAAGAAACGCAAATGAAAACATATATAATATTGGCATATGAAACATTTGCCTGACTGCTTTTAATTCAGTGGACAGTCATGGGTTACTGGTTCAAAGAGACTGTGTTATCGTGTAATCTGAAATAGAAAATGCAGGTCCTAGGTTCCATCCAGTGATCCCACAGGACTCAATAATTTGCAACTGAAAAAGAGCAGAAAGAGCTCTCCCAGTCCCAGGGTGCCAAAAGATTTACTACAGCATTGGCTAGTCTACTCTGATGATTAATTATTCTTGCTATTAAAAAAATGTGTGTTTTATCTTAACTATGAGTCATCAACAGTGAAGCTCTCCAAGATTTCTCCTTTCCAGCTTAAGACTTAGAAAATGTGCAGGCACAGAAGATAGCCACCGTGTTTAGAGAATGGAGATCCCCGTTTTGTTATGCTATGCAAGTTCACATACTTCAGAAAGCCAGTGCTTAATTTATTCCAGGAAACTTAGTCACCGTGTTCTTCTAGCGCCTTACCTCACAGCTAAGTAACCCACAATATTCCTGTGAGAACTGCCGATGTGATGTTACAAAGCATTAACGATTTCATTCTCAGCAGCAATGCTGCTGTCTGAGGTCAATGCGAGGTACTTGAAGCCATGTGTTTTCCGTCCCCTCCTGGGTATCAGAGACCCTGTCCCACCAGCTTCACTTCAGAGAGCAGCT